GACTGATAAGAGCAGATAAGAGGCGCTGAAACACAAATTTCACGAAATTCAAGTCGCTTCGCCAGTATCGCTCACGGAACTGATTTGTGGGGTCAAAAAGTGATAACGACAGATGAGGACTGATAATTACGATATGCGTACGAACGTAGAGATTACTCGAAACCAGATTGCAGATAATGCATTTCATTTCAATATCATTTCATTAGCGTTGTAATTGTAAACTCAAACACCTTTCGACCGCTACACCTTCTAGAGTTCTTGAGGATGAATGGGATGCTCGAATAAATATGATAATGAATACTGGGCATTCCGTTTTGAGATATTCGACCGCTAAATTACCTCGATACTCGACGCATAGTGGTTGTTTACATCATCACTTTAGCTGTGCACTTCACTGCGCTTATCAAACAGTGAGATACAGCCAAGATGGGCAACGGACAGTAATGCATTTAACGAAGCAGCTATAGTTAAGCGGTGAAACCCAAAGCTTCACCGATTGTCAGTTTTGTCAGAGGCTTCCGTGTCATGCGCGCGGTAGCGGGCGGAGCTAAACTGGTTTTATTATATTAGGTTCACTCGTAAGAAGTGTCCGCTTTTTCAAACTGTTGCCATTTTCGCAAAATACGTTTGTGGTGGTCTCGTAAATATTTATGTTGTGTGCCCTTACGATCTTCTCCATTATGACGGGGCCATCTGTTTTCTTCGATCGATGGGAGTATGCCAACATATGTGTTTTAAGTTGAAGAAGTATGAGTTGAAGGGTCTGAAGGTGAATAAAAGGGCATGTTGAGATTTGCCATTGGAGTCTAGAGGGGGCTACCACAATTAAGGCAAAGCATCCAAGCAAGCTTTTCGGTCATTCTAACGGGATTAATGCGGACACGAGTGAATGTCTGACCAATCTTGCTTCCCAGAAATCGACGTTTCTGCCGCCTTGGCAGAGTGTCAACGGATGTGAGAAGGGCGTGGCTGATGCTAGCCATGCACAGATTCTTCTCCGCTGGATGGAAGCGGTTAGGCAGTCAGAGCTCCGGAATGTGACCTTCACCTGAAAAAGATCTTGCTCTCCATCCTTGCAGTGCCTCACTTCAGAACTTAAACAAGGACACAAACGTTTGCGCAGGCATATCTGATTGCCTAGACTTGTTGGAGATATCGCCAGATTCTTTCTACCATTAATTCTTCCACTGGATGACAATTCCCGGCCACATATCGGAAACCAAAGCCAGAAGTCTATACGGAAATTTGGCTTCCTGCTTATACCCCACTCGTTGCAATCATGTGATCTTGTACGAAGCGCTTATCACTTGTCCTTGCCTCTGGTCGATTTTTGAAAAAAAAGAGCCACGGTTCTCTAACATCCCAGAAAGGACTCTATCATTCTAAGCGTCTAAAGCTATACAATAATCAAGAATTACTTCGAATGTAAGGAATATATGTAAGGATTACCTGGAAATTGGTGTCAAAAGCGGACATCACCTATGTCTCGACCTAATAGAATGAAGTGTATCAAAACTCCCACATTGAGTTATTTTATTTAGGTCGTACTCAGCAAGGTTCTCCCGACTGGCCATCTACCGGTGAGTGTGTACTCTGCTGCCGGGGTTGCGGAAATACTCTTGACTCTTACCAAGTAGCACAAATTTTCAAAAAAAAGTGACGTGTATCGAAGAAATTTGGTAAACAACTGCAGAACATAGGCTTGTTGTTCACAGCAGCGCTGCCGCGACCTTCTAGAGCACATGCCGTCACTCCTTTTGTTACATAAAATTGTTTCAGTTGATGTCTCGTTCAAAAATGTTTGCATGATTGCTGCACTTATTCAAGGGGCAAATACAAATAGTAATAATGTCAGCTGAAAAGTACATTCTTCTAGCATGAAGGTGTCCGCTTTTGGACAACGCAGCGATAAATCCAATCCGATACTGGTCTGGTACGAAGTTAGAATTAACCAACATCTCTACCAGGACCACTGGCAACTCGGTTTATTGACATGTGTTTGCGCCTTAATGTATAGGCGATGGTGCGTCAGGGCACACTTCCCCGCTGAGTCCCCGCCCTGCAACCCCCTATGTGTGTATAAAACGTATGGAGAATAGTATCGAAAGGTTTGTCTGCCGACCGTTCATCTGATGTCTCAGACGGCCCTTTGTGCCTCTCATGAAGTACTATTTCTCCTTGCTATTTACCCGTCGCGTCGCCCGACGTGTGCCGACCTGATGCAATATCGTTTCAAGATTATGATCTATCCAATCTGACGTACCACGAAGTTAATACCGCTTGTGCTCAGTTGTTCAACAGCTTCGATGTCGGATATCTGCGTGCATTCCTGCTTTAATTGTATTTGAGAAGACGGTGAGAGCTACCGAATAATGTTAGCCACTACCACCGCGACCCACGTGAGCCGATAAGACCCAATCTCGCTCGAATTACGTCAGACTCCCATGCGCCGTCTAAGCCTTACAACTGACATCCTTTCGTCCTTGTCAAGAACTACATACCTCGTCTCAAAAACTTCGAATGGCCCAAAAATCTAACACACTGAGCTGTCGCGGAAACCTTAGAAATTGGTGTCGATCATGCAATAATGCCGCTCATTTCAACAAATGATATAAATGCCCGGTACTCACCTCTGTAGAACTGGTACTCATATATCCTTACGCCACCGAAGCTCTTGATGTTGGTGTGAAAGCGCTCTCCAATGTGGCTTGCGAAGACACTCAGCACGCTCACGCCAGCTTACACTGCCTTGGAGTGATAGTACGGATGGAGAACTAGCACGACAAAGAAAGTCAGTATATGAAGAGAAGCAAAGTTACGAAATCAGGCGTGAGCAGAACACTGGCATACGCGCACTCAATTGGTTTCCCCTTTTCTAAATTGAAACCTTAATAGTTTCATGATACCCATTTTAAATCAGTGAGATAATTAGTGAGATTCTACGCGTCCATACTTTTCGCATCCCGTGCAGTCATTCCCCTGAAGGCATTTCCTTTTCTGCATCAGTATTGAGCAATTTGCTTACCACGCGAAAAGTTTGAGTGTTTGTGCATGAATTTTTCACTTTCAGGAGTCGACCGCTTCTTCAGAGGTGAGTAGTTGTTGTCCTCCGCTAGAATTTTTGAGCACTTTTAATCTATTATACCAATAGCTTCTATTCTATTCTGAAAATATGCAAGATTCAGCAAGTCGAGCTTGGACGCTCTCTAGGAGTTATTCAGAATTTCAACATCCCAAAACGATTGAGAATTCAAAACCCAATAGAGCTGATATAACACTACTTCGTGACTGTTTTTATGTGAACCGAATATGCAATTAAAATGTGTTATGAATCCAACTGAAAGCAGTGGTTGGCTGACGTACGACGCAGAGAAAATTGCGAAAGACCGGATGGGACAGTCGTACAGGTCGCAACAGGTGGAGCGTGTCAAAGTCCTTGGCCCCTAGCGCCTTAGTGACCCATTTCGATGCGGGAACTTGGCGAGTTGCCTGCAGTTGCGTCCCAGCTACAAAGGATTATTATAACGCTCTTCTGGCTGAAATTTCCAGTCTTGCACGTCAAATTGCACTACACCCAAACGCGCCGCTGCCGTCTCGCTTAAAAGTGCCTGTCGAGACCGTAGTTATGAAGCAAGGCATATTCTGCCAGGTATCAAAGCTAACGCTTATTGGCGGTACGCGTGTTAGGAGAGCATTCTTAATACGAGACTGCGAAGAATACCATGGCCAAGATGTAGTGGTTAATGTTTTTTCCAATCATAGCACAGATTGCCGCCGCTGATTTGAGTCCTGCAGCAAAATATTCCAAAAACGTATGAAAATTATGTAGGTGGACAGTCCCTCTTCCCGTCTCCACTTTCAAAATCATGGCTTTCATTTGCCGTATCCTCATTCAACATATTTGCGTTAATCGCCCCTCAGCATAAAAGCGCTAGTAATGTTCTCAAACCCGATCTTTTTCAATAACTCGTGAATAGCTTTCTAGAAATATTAGTGGTCACTATCACGACCCCTTCTGATCAGCGTTTCAGATAACCTCAAAATGTGCCTTCCAATTGGCAGATGGGAGCATACGACTTGAATTTGATGTCACCCAAGCTCATCATTTATCTTCAACATTCGCTCAATATATACTCGTGTTCGTTTTCTATACTCTGGAAATCGTTCCTGCTTTTTTCTTCGGCGACCCTTTTCATATGCCCTGAATCTTCAAAAAAACTCCAAGCCAAAACCGTGAACTAGCAGAATTTCGTGTTGTTTTTGTTTGATGAAGATGGAATTTGGCGGTTGTCTCAATTATCCAGGCTATGATGAAGAGCCAAAAACAGTCGAAGAATGCTGTGCAAAACTAGCTTCTAATATTGTAGAAGGGCCCACTAGGTTCATTAGTCGTACATGTTTTGACGATTAATGCTTATGCTTTATGCTTGTATCGCAAGCTATCAAAAACTGCGGGAATTCCCATCCAACGGCATTTAAGTCAAATGCCTTATGGCATGATGCATAGTGCCTCATCCCTACTGCATTTGCAGTTGGTGCACTTGCAGTCGTCATCGGTTTGGCACGGTTCTCCTTTCTCGTAAATCAACTGGTCGATAAAGTTTCCTCTGCAAGTTAATCATAATAGGAGCTTCGCGTTGGGACGTGGTATCACTGCTCGCCATGGAAAGGTACTTACCCAGGGCGGTACTGACAAACCACAAATGTCATTGGCACTGGAGGGGTCATTGCAATATTCTATCACACATCCGAGCTTGTAACTACTCTGCCAAACCATCTGAAAATTCGCAAATATTGAGGACGAGTGATTCGACTACTTATTCTCGCCTCACCTGAGTGTAGTGACCAATCTGCTCTTTCTGTCGATAAAACAGTTCGTTAGTGAGTATGTTGTCTTGTCCAACACCATGGTCTTTTAATTCAGCGAAGAACTTATCGCAGGCCTAGAGCACGGTTGTTTTTTGCACTGAAAAATTGCTAACGTTGACAATTGCTCTTACCATTTCCGCTGCAAGTGACCTATTCATTTCCGGTTGAAGGCTCGCCCATACATTCTCACCAAGACCGAATCTGTCGGCTTTGTTGGAGTGTCCCCATCTGCATTTCTCGGCATGCCTCATTGCGCTTGCTTCAACTTCACAGTCATACACCTGGATATACCCTAATTACGCGACCCTCTCCGTCAAGGAGCTTTGTTGCGTATGAGGCCGTACCATCTTAAGCATTCTTGCTGCTTTGGGAGCGTATCCACCGAACTTGTCCTTCGCCAATCCTTTCGCAACGAATGATCTGGAAGAATATACTCAAAATCATGGTTGACATCCGTCACGACCACAGCTAACCTGTAGTAGTTATGTTTTTTGAGGAAAATCTCTCTGAGGTCATCTGTCATTCCGGTATTGGCATTGCATGAATCTGAAATCGGCCTTGTTAACTTGTGGAGCGGAGATCTAGAAAAATCCCCAAACCTGGTCCGTCTACTCGTGGCCTCTTAGTGGTTGTTTTGATTTCGGATTCCACCGGCTGGTTAGTATCACAAATACCATTCGAGCAAAATGATTGGGGATACATAGTGCACAAGCACGTCCTTCCTGGCTCCCACAATTCTTGCATCGGTGGTATTCTTCTGAATAGAAACCATGATCGAGCTCTCATAAATAAGTACTATTAGACATCCTCATACTGCTAGTAATCCGTTGAAAAGCGCAATAAAATCGGCAAAACGTACTAACGCACATTATGAGCATCAACTTTTCTCAGATAATAAAAGCTTTTATAGCCGACTCTTTAATGAGGGGACTATATCAGCGATTTTGGAGGGGATCTTTGCTGTAAGATGGGGGGTCGTGTTGCAGTGAAGGAAGAGAGGACGCCGTTTATGTCGGGATGTCGGCTTCCGATAATTCTAGCGAAAACTTCAGAAAATTGAGGAAAGAATTGCGAAATTAAGAAAATGTGTGCGTCTGCCGTTCTTAAGAACATTTGCTCTCGTTCCAGGGCCGTCTTGTGAGGAAAAGTAGGCGGAGGTGGAGTCAACTGGCCTCAGATTCAATGCAATCAACCATGGTGGTGAAGGTGTTGTTGAGTAGTGATTAGGAGGCTAGTATGGGGGAGGGTTCTGAGATGGATAGTGAGGGTGGGGTCGTATCAAAGCCTCACTGATTGTGAAAATTTTGAATAGAATTGTTACTTTAGGGGGAAAGATTTTATATTCTCCACTATACAATGCTTTTAATTTTATTTTTGCATTATTATGGGGTTCAGAACAAAGAGGTAGTCCAATTTCGTTTCGCACGTGCCTTCAGACGAAAATTGCTTCAAAGTTAGCACAACGAACGGTTGTCCCTGACTGTGAATTCTTGGTCAAGCACTTAATACCTAGTTGGCCCTCCTAATCTTACGGTGAAGTGCGTGCGCAGCATGGAAGCACCTGCTCCAGCGCAAGCGTAGCCAGTGGCCAAGATAAGCAAATGCGGCCTTTTTCAAAGCGCCAAGAGTGCCCCAGTTACAGTGCACATGGGTTGCACCACCTTTCTGTGTTCCGTCTCTGCCTGTGCTCCACTAACCAGTTTTTGTTTATTAAAGCAATCGTTTATCATCATGTTAAAATGGGTATTTCACTCGAGCGGTCGTATTCTGAGGAATGTGTTATCAGCCAAAGGATGGTGTTTGTTAGGGTGAGGTGGCCATAGGGTTAACACGAGAAGACGTCTCACGTGGGTCGCTGGCTGTCAGCTGACTTGGAGGCCGTCCTGACAGAGGGTCCATATTTCGTGATGCATTCATCCCGCGGGATCTTCGTCGCTATTTGCCAGCTATCAGCCATCATCACTTTCCACTTCACTGAATCTAAGCTCAATCTATGATCGTTAACCAAACCCTCCGTTAGGTGGTAACTATGAAATAATGAGAGTTATCCAGTGACCGATTCAAATTGAGACCCAAAAAAGTTCTTAGAAACAAGGTGATAAGCAGAGATAAGGCCATGGAATAAGTCCGCACTGGGGAGCATACGTATCAGGCGAGCAGATGAAAAGAATCGAGGTCAAAAGCGTGCGATTTTTGGAGAGTAGAGACAAATCGATCGATAGAATAGGATGGAGTAGAAGTGTGAGATGTGAATGCAATAAAGCAAAAGGTTAGAAAGAGTTCTAGTGACTGGCACTCCAAGAACCAAGTGGAACCATCCCAGCGGCGGTAATTTGGACGCTTAGCAGCCCTTTCAGATTTTCGGGTTTTTACCCAAACAAATGCAATTTTTCCGTTCTTTTCATTCTTGTCGGTGGATGGAGCCGGGCGTTCCAAGCAGGGTCTGTCCTATCGTTGTTACTTTTCGAAAATTTTTTACGACCCCCCTCCCCCAACGTGGATTTGATACGACCCCCTTTTCCCTACCTCCACCATCTCCATCTTCCATCAAAACCCCGCCCACTTTTTCCTCCAAAAATGCCGTCGAGCGGGGGGGTATATAGTCACTCTGAAACAGTAAAAATTTACCAAAATTCCCTAAATTTCCGCCAATTTACCCCACTTCTACCTATAATCCCACTGCTTCATTTTCTAGGGAGGTATATACGCGCGCTGAAACGGCAAATTTTCTCCCGCGCCACTCCCCACTCATCTCATGCAACTTCTTACAATCGAAGCAAGTACGACCCCCCCTCTACAAACTCATCAAAATACGACCCCCCGTTGCTACTTGTAGCAACATAGGGTTGACCCTGTGCCAACGCCACGTGATTATGGCTGAAATTGATTCATGATTTTTTCGTGGAGGTTCCTCTATCCCCATCGTTTTCGACAGATTTCTTTCCCTTTTTCTTTACTACCAAGCCAATTAGCATCAATATATTCATACGTGCAAGAGCTACACCAGTGGGCATGCCATTAACGAAATTCTCTTGGGAGTACGTGAGTCTACTAATTTACTGCATTTGCTCTGAATAGCGATAGAAACTTGTTCGTGTAATGGGGAAATCAGTGACAAAAAAGAGAATTTGATAGTCAACGCCGGAATCCGACAGATAGTGCGAATGCATTCCATAATAGAATAGTGTTGAGTAGCTGTAGCGTAAGTGCGTAAGAAGAGGTATTTACGTCTTAGAAAACGAGATACCATTCCATTTAATCAGGAAACGAAGGGCTAGCTTACTTGGTACCATAAACGCAGGATACAAGCAGATTAGAGCGGCAGATCTGGTAAGCACATCCAACTCTCAGATTTTTGTAGTTCACCATCTGAAATCACGCTGTTTTTTACTGCCAAATTGTGTAATTCGAATACTCACGTTTCCAAACGATTCAATCTTATAGTAGAACCGATTCCCAGTCATTCCGTATCGTAAAATCGGGTTCACCCAAGTCCTCTGAACTTGATCCAGGGCAACAGTCACATCACCACCTCGATACCTCACGCTGATTATATCAGTTATTATTGTCATTTTTGAGAGGGTATAAAAACAAATCTTGATGCGCACCTGGCAGTGTTTACAGACATTGTTAGGAGACATGAGCCGGGTCCGACTGTGAATGTGCACGTTTTGATCTGATGTTTGTGCAAGATCTTCCAGAGCACAATCCCATTTCTGAAATTTCGGCATGAACACAATATCAAGATCACTGTACGACTTCTAACAAAGGTTCATGACGCTGAGAGAACCCGTTCCTAAGAATGCCACGTTTGCGACACCTCGAAAAGTGATAACTGTGCGCCTCATAGTTACAAACCCACCCCCGAATTTGGCATTTCTTTACCAATCAGACAACTATTAAATTTTCGGCATCACCCATAGAATCCTCACCAAGAAGAAGCTTCGTATCTCCACTTTGGTAAGGGATATTTTCTTCAGCTTTTAACTTTATAATTATCTTTTGTTTCTTACACCGATTCGCAGATAAAATGAGGTCATCGTGAGAAAAAGAATGAGATTGAAGGCAAACCCCGGGATTAGCCCCACTAGTAGGGATACCACGAGGGAAATTGTAAGGTCCGTATAACTGAATCTACAATGCATTTCGATCAGAAAAACTGCGCGGTTAGGGCGTTCTTAGGGCCCGTAACCATCGACTCCCTTTCCAACGCATCCTACCCACCGCGAGAGGTGGTGAGATCAGCTTGCACTGAGAGAGACCACGTACTCTCTCAAGCGACGTGCTCTCTAAGTCAGTATTTATGATTCTTGAGCTCCTTTCTAGCCAATCAATTACCAATCTTAACCTACGACCATTCGAAGCTTGAAGGCCATTAAATGCAGCATTCTCCAGAGTGATTAAAGACCTTTCTTTCCACTTATTAGGATAGTTCGGAATCAGCTTAAGTATCACTTACAAAGCCGCTGATGAGCACATGTTTAATCCTAGGTCTCGCGTTTTATATTCATGCAGATGCACACCCCAAAAGCTCAATATTTAGTATATCCTTTGCTACCTCGAATGCAACATCAGATAGACCTCCTCGCGTAATGACATCGAAGCTCCGACAATCAACATCATAATATATTATTTAACTCCCTACTTTAAAGATGATGTTTATTATTCATAATATTTGACCACGGCAATTCCGGCGATGATACTAACCCATCCAGATAATAGACGTTTCCATAATCTTCACGAAATGCGTCCAACTGGCAAGATAACACACCGAGGTAAAAAATTGAGTTTGGGTAGGGTGGACACTCATGAATGCTGCTCAATACAGAAAGATAAAGTAATCGTCATTTGAAGTGCACTGCTGGTAAGTACCGGTGCAGTGTGGAAGAACTTCTGAAGTGCTTCAAGGCTTCGAAAGTGATTAGTAGTTGTGCAGCACTGTGAACCCCATTAATGGCACAATCTAGGCAGAAGTCAGTTGAACGACTTACATGTTCAAAGAGGGGGGGAGCATGAAATCCAAGGACACAAGCAAGATGTTCTAGCTCATGCTCTCATTGGGATTCGCCCGCAAGTAAAATATTATTATTTGACACTTCGACTTAAAGGCACAATCTAGGCAGAAGTCGTGTGAACAATTCTCTTTGGTTTGTAGCACAGACCCTCAGAGGACAATCACAGATGGAGCCCTCACGTGCATTAAATTGTCCTCATAAGGGTGCTAGGGCCATGCAATAGTCAACAGAGCAGCAATATTCCCCAAACGTTTAGGCAGCGATTGCGTGCACTCTATATGTAACTTTTTCGCCTCATCTTTCCCTCGCACTAGTCTCTTCATTGCCGTAGCATGCTGCTCGCGAAGGTCAACACCTTGTCTGATAAATAGACAGATTCTATATTTTTTTTCTTAATGTCTGCCATTTTGCACCAATGCTTTCATATCCGTGTATGAGCAACACTATGTAGTTTGATTCTGCATGCCTTTGAATTGCGAGCCAGCTGTGGATGCCTTGAATCAGTCCAGGTCCTGCTATTGCTCCTGCTTGCTAATGAAGGACCACTGGACAGATGAGTTTGATTGTTCAAAAAAGAATTGGTCTGTGTTTGCGAGGACAACCCATATTACCTTATAGAACCCGTTCTTCACTTGTTCTTACATCTACTTATTTTTAGCCTTTCACTGGAAGAACGAGTGAATGCGGACCTACCAATTTGTACATGTTTTTAGCTGGTCCGAGATATCTATACTTGCTTCGTAGTGTTCCAGTTGACAACTGCCGACGTATTTCATTATGGAAATCGAGGAAGACGTTCCTTGTCCTGTCACTTTGAGTCAGATTTTTTGGACAACCATAATCTAAAGCCATCAAATAGTTGAACAGAACGCAACGAAGCTAAATACAGTGATTCTTCGGCGGAACGACACTTCCTACTTTCCACATCGGACGACATGGAAGTACCAAATCGTTGCTGGAAAATCTTCTGTGATCTGCCAGTCACGTACCTGCTTTCACATATAAGTTCAGCAGCACCTTAAAGTACAGTACATAGCAAAATTATTGGCCTGCCATCGGACAATTATCACTGACCAGCAATTTTGTGAAGTTTCCGTAAGAAAACGAAACAAGTAATGAAGTTTTGACTCACCAGGCAGACGGCAGTGACAAACGACAGCATGCCCAACGGTGACGTCTGATGTTATCCGACAGCCATGCTACCTTTTATTTGGTACTTCTATTTGAACAAAAACTTGCACTTTTGCTCACCGTAGTGATTCTAGTGAAGCTGCCTAAATTGTGAAGCGTGCAAATTCTAAAGTGAAATTGCTGATCACTCTGTAAATTATGAGTATTTCATCTCAGCAGTGCAATCCTTAGCGACACTACTGTTACCACTAGAGCTCCATCTGAAAAATGTCCTGAAAGGTGGCCGAGTTGTCCTGCCTTCCATGACGTCACATTTTTTAATGACTTGCAAATTGACAGGAAATCTTCCCTTCAAAGTCTAGGATTTCTATGTTCTGAAATAGAGGTAGTGCTGCCGCAGCATTCCATCATAAGTTGATGAGCGTTCATGGGGCTCCGAAATTTCTCCAATTATCGGCTGTTTGAGGGCGGAAGTGGTGTAGTGACAAGTGGCGCGCTTACCACGCGAGCGGTCCGGGATCAAATCCTGGGTCGTGAGTCGCCCGGGCCAACCAAGCCTTCCATCCCTCCGGGGTCGGTTAATTGGTACCAGACTTGTCTGGGAGGATAAAAAAACAACTGACTTGCGTAATACATAGGCTGGCCCCCGCAGGAACATTGTAGATGCGCCATCGCATTCAAACCTGGCATTAACAAATTCTGAAAGGAAGTACCATTGCGTTTACCAAGCTGTTTGCACGAACCGCGAACAAGCTCTGCCCAAACAAACTGTCCATAATTCAAGATCCAGTTGTTCCAATCTCCATTGTTGTATGCACATCATGTTGACCGGAGACTAAATCCCCTCTGACAAGATAGGTCCGCCTACAAAAATCCTCCTGTGTCTTTTGACGCGGCCGTGAAACGAAGTGCGCGAAGCATAGTCCTCTTCAAAGCTAGCGCTAACAACCACAAACAATGTTTTGCCCACGTATGTCGCCATGTTGTTGTTTCAGCAATAGGGGGTCGCCTACACGATGCCTAACACCCAGTTCACCGACCATCCCTGTTTCACGACACTTCTCTCTGTGAGGCCGTTGACACACACAACCCTCCCAAAAGTTTCCCTAAAAAGTCGTCAAGGAGGGTTCATATGATTATGCGCCAAATAAATCCGTATTCTATGCACTCGCAGTTCCACATGTAGCGAGAAATTTAAAACTGGAGGTTATGAGAAAGAAAGTTCCATCAGAAAATGAAGGTAGTGGTTGGTCAGTTGATGCAAGGATTAGCGAAAGAGAGAAAAACTTCTAGATCCGAATTAAGACGCCCTTCTGTTCCGTCACTTTCCGCGAAGGCAATTTTCCCGCTCGGCTGACCTCTTCAACGCTAACCGCTCTCTTCTGCTACGACGCGCTTGGAGTGAGACCGCACGAGAGGATGGACGGGGGCGCAGAGAGGGCCATGCCTAGATCGCCGCCCAATATCCTTCGACTACCAATTAAGTGTCGGTCCGCAACTACTGACCGTCCGCCGCCTTCCTCGCTAGGTAAGTTTGCCCCTTCTTAATTACCGTCCGCCACTCACGACATCATCGCTGTAACTGAAAAGGTTTCAGTTGATTAAAAAATTGGGAGGGACTGATGAAAACTTTCTACTGTCACTTTTGAGCGGAATATTCGGCCTGACTAATGGCAGCGTCATAATTCATGCGATACAGCTGCAGTATAGTTGAACGACTGACTACTCCCTTCCATGAAATTGCAATCCCGAGAGATTTATTAAAAAAAAAACACGCGGGATCCATAGGACATCCTTTTGATTTTCGAATGCCACTAGGCATTGAGCATCAAGCTGGGGATGTCCCAACCACTCGCTGCTAGCAGTAACGAGTGGCGCTACACCAAAACCACCAGACACGACTATCCACTCACATTTTATTAGTAATGAATATGAGTCCTGAATAACAGATCTCTTGGTGTTAGGCGCTTCGGCAAAAGTCCGAAGGAGGTGGACGGCGGGCGTGTGGGTCCGAGGGCGGCAACGGTCGGGTCTCGCCAGCAGTCCCAGTCAAGGCCCAGCTCCTCCAACAATCCTCGTCTTCGCACCGTCTCGGCTCCGCCTTCTGTAATCAGCAAGCTCATCGAAGCATCAACCTGATGACTAAGCTCAACCCCCAATCGATTTCTACGTAACACCAACTCATACAATGAGTACAACCTCTGACCACACAATAAGCATTCATTCAATAGACTGCTGCGTTTGAGTTGAAGTGGTAGTGCTGTGCAAAATACGAGTGAAATGAAAACGAAATGATTTCGAAAGCCTCCGCAGCTTGTCCAGAAAAGTGCATCTATTGTGCTTGGATTTTATTGGTGGCAAATGGTAATAAAGTTTAATGGTAAACAATGCAGGTTTCAGCTGTGAATAAGCTTCTATACGTCAAAATATTTATTCAGCAGTTGTTATTGAGTGGTGTAGCGTTTCAATGGAGGAAAAACAAGGTCACGATGGCTGCGACGCTTCATCATGCTTTCATAGATAGATAGCCCTTAACTTTACCCTACTTATATGGTCAACATAAAGTCCGAAAAACCCCATTTTGAGTGGGACTTTGATAAATACTTCTATAGCTGATTCACATCTAAGCATAGAAAAGAAACACCACGGGAATGTGAAGGGGCGCAGATGCCACGTTGACCCTCCAGTAAAAAGTACTCGAGCAGGACATTCACTGAGCGAACGCAGACACAATGTGGCGCACTGCGTGGTCATCTGTATCTCATGAACGGCTTCGCTTTTCTTTTCCCTGACCCTTCCGGCTCCACTGAGTAGAAATTAACGAAATCAAGCAGTAGCTGAACCTCACATGTTAGGCACAATCAATGCAAGCAGAGTAAGAAGCTCAGAATCCAGCCTTGTAAACATTTCAGCACTCTCAAGATCAGGCAAAGTTCGCCAGATACCCTATAGCGAGACAGCCGGATCCCACTACCGGCATCAAATCAATAAACTCCATAGCGCTGCCGTGGTGCAGAGGCAGTAATCGTTGTATCGTTGCCGGAACATCGGGGTTCGGGGCTGGCACCAAGAATTTTTGCAAAGAATGTAAGAAAGCTCAGTGCGAGTCTTAACTCGCAGGTTGATTCCGGCAGAATTGCCTGGGCTTATCTATACAAAAGAGGGACGAGGCCTTAACCGTCACTCTTGATCGCGAGGTTGAGGGGTAATTTACTCACCGTCTGATGTCATTATCCTCTATTTACGAACATATTCCTACATTGACATTGCTTTTTTGTATTTTTATTTTTACCAGATTAGTCCCCCGTCAACCGCCGGGACCTTCCTTTCCTGCGCAAGCTTTCTATCCTCCGCTATGGTCCCTTCCTCCTGTGACACCAACACCTCCTGGAAGTGACGCGTATGCAACACAATGGTGTTTCATACAGTAGAAGGGACACAATCATGATATGACGGTAGATTTTTCGCTTCCCTTCCTCATCCTCCCTTCCTCTCTCCACTGCCCTCCAGCTGCCACTGCAGCACCATGTGGAATGAACGGAAGTGTGCTAAGCAGGTGTTTATATAGCCCTAAGAGTGTTATCACAACTATCCTGCTACAAAACATTGATATCTCAAATCCTGTAAGCTACCCGATTTGTTAGCGGTTTGTTTATCCCATGAGCTTCCTTCTCACTCACTTCATTTTGCGGACGGACACACATACATACATACACACACACACATACAGACATACACAAACCGACACACAAAGTTAGCGCTTTATAAAATAAGGATACAGAACGAAGAGATTCACACTTACAGTCCTTCACGGCAGCACCAACGCAATGCGCCTGCCCATCAAAAGTGGTGATTGAACAGTGCTGTGGGTGCAGAGGTAATGTTCCTACTACAGGTGTCATAATCATTAGATACAGGTGTTCCATAAATATTGCAAACACTCTGTAGCCAACGAATTTCTTGTTTTGGAGGCGTGATCTTTCGCCAATATTACGCCACTAACTTTCCTGCTCGTGGTCCAGTCCATACACGTCTAAACCCGAATAGAGGTGCCCAATTCTTCCGGCGACGCGAGCCGGACATTTTTTTAATCAGTATGGCTCACACTGTAGTTCGCATCAGTCCGGTCTGCGGTGCAATGAAGATAGGAACTGTGGAAGGTCATCCCTGCTGTGACCACCCCGTAACTTCACCTGCTTCGTAGCGCAGGAGATCTGTAAAGAAAAAGAAGCCAACTGCAATGCTCGTAGGTCCATGACGAGTATGGCTGTAGGGTTGGGAGTTTATAGAACGACCACAAGGAGTGGGCTAAAACAAGTCCTACACATGTATGACCCTTATTGACGTAGCTCAGGAGACGTACCTCGACTGACGTAGGGAAGGCAAAACAGAAGGATGAGGATGAATGTCGCAACTCCTGGAGAAGAACAGGAATGCGGTGATCATAATCATAGAGTCAGAAACCATTCCTCACTTGGACGAAAACCACATACCCACTCGGGGTGTTCCTATTCGGAATGCAGGAAGCGATGGGCATTCAATGAGCTCCACCATTCCGCGGCCTTTGAACATCCAATCCAATCATCGCCCTCAGAGGGATTGCAGTTCTAGCTTGTTCGCACCGGCGTTCCGGCAAAGAACTGATAATGTTTGATGCAGACTATTCCATTCATCTCGTAAAGCGGCTCGAAAAGAGAGTGCATCGGGCCCTTTTCACGGACGCCGGCCACAAATAACGTAAGGATTCAGTGGTGCCCACAACAGCTCGAAATGGAATGCGTGCACGTGAATGCTCTGCGTGGTCCGCCTGCCCATATGCGTAAAATGATGTACAACATACGTATAAACGAACCGATGGTCTTGACGGTTGAGGCGGAGCCCGGCGACTGGCGAGCGCAGGTACCCGACAAGAGGATTGCCGCGCGGAGGAAGGCAGAGTGCAGAAGACGGCGGAGTCGCGCTTGCGCTCTAGTGATTTCGCGTTCACAGTTAAATATAGAACGTATCATTCTAGCAATGAGCTTATAAACCTTTGGAAATTTCTTTATTATGATTACTTCTAGCTCACATTAAAGGACGAATTCACGATCAGAGGGAAAATCGAATTAGGAAGAATTCACCTGGTTGAGGGACCCGCGGAGCTCCTAAGTGTGCGAACTGAAGCACAATTTGCACAGGAGGAGTTGACCTCGTTGACCTATTAAGGTTTAATCCCGCCGCGGCTGGTCAGTGCACGCCCACCGATCATCTGATCACTCGCCGCAGGTCTATACGTGGTGAGTGATTAGATAGGTGAGAGAGCGTAGCGTTGAAGAGGGCACAGCGATGATAGTCGCATCAATGCTCAAATCAACGGGCAAGGAAGGGGTCCCATTTCTCGGGTTCTGGGCCGTTTCTCATGGTATTTCCTTCTTTGGTGTACCACTCACCATCGCTAAGGTAATTTGAAATGGGTTGCCTTTCCAGCGTGAATTCGTCCTTTAAAGCAACAAGGTCGACGCCGACAGCTCCATTCTAAATAACCTCGAAGGAATGATTGGGCAGGTTGAGATCGAGGAGCAAGCTTCGACAAAGGGCACGAAATCGGGAGGAGTGGCACGACAACAGCCCTGGGGTCATTTGTAACCGCTTTTGTGGAGACGCCGTCCATTCAAAAGGCCGCAATCTCCGAAGTGATTGGAAACCCATTGGCACGAAAAGCTTGTACTGGTGCAATCTGTCAGAACATATTGTTGTACCCTACCCGCAATAGACTCGGGCAAAGGATGGCCTCCAATCAGCCATTCATGGATGAGGCCGCCGAAGAGAGAGAGGGAGCTGGTGTGAAGGACGGATGTCATAGAACTGCCGATAGGCGATTCCTAGACCAAATCGCAACTACGAACGCGCGTGCGCTACAGGAATCCGAACGGTTGCCTACCACGGGTTTAAACAATAGGAACAAACCCCACTTTGAACGAATGACACTACTGTTGAAACCGGCGCGGAGACTTCCTTTGAACGTTTGGTCCCGCCACATTTCGAGCAGTGTCGAGTCGCTGGCACATCGGTCGAGTCGCTTGCGCAAAGCTTCGATTTCGCTGACGCAACGCTCGAATCCGTAATAACTTCGAGATGAGACGCAATTTCTGAAGCATCCCGTGCCTAAGCTCGATTTCGGACTTATGCGAAAGGCCGATGTCAGACTTTGCGAATCGCGCGATTCGCTACTAGCGATTCGCGCGATTCGCTAGCGTCCGCGGTCGCGTTGCGGTACCAGCCAATTGAGTGATTCACTGGCCGCGACGCGACCGCAGACGCTAGCGAATCGCGCAAAGTCTGACATCGGCCTAGGTGGATGGTTCGCCTGCCACAGTGGGATCGTATTTGATGTGGATCATAGCCACAATTACACCGACAATGAAACATATTGAGGGGGTCTTATCGAGTGTAATAGGACTTAGAAAATAGCTTTTGATATCATTTGAATTAAGATCCGTTTTGGGAGGGGTTACACGGCAGAAACCGTTTGCAATAATTATGGAACACCCTGTAACACTTATATTAGCATTTTCTTTCTTATCCTTTCAAAATTTCAGACGAAACCACCACCATTCGAATTCCATTACGACAACAGGAAGAGCGAGAATATAGGCCGGAGCGTGTTAAAACATTAGTGACATTTTTGTGCTTCATAATCGTCGGACTGATTAATCACTTTGTACTCGCCGTTGTATCAGACATTATCAGCCGGTGAACTCATACTTGCAGCCTGTTCTCACCAATGGAGAATTTATGGTTGGCGATCGTACGTGCGAATAGGCGATTAGGCGAGTAGGCGATAAGGGAACGTATTGATTTGTTGCTCCGCCCATTGAGCGATCGCCTAATCGCCTAATCGCCTACTCGCCTACAACGCTCTATGGGCGGAGCAAACCAATCAATACGTATGTAGTCTTCCCCGCCTAATCGCCTAACCGCCTAGTCGCCTACTCGCCTATCGCCTAATCGCCGGTCACTCGATCGCACGCACGATCGCCAACTATGAACACTCCATAAACCTTGGCATCGTTTAAAAATACCTTGTTAAGGTTACCACTTCCCGACTTGACGCATTCTGTTGTTGCTCAAAACGACACATTGAGACACATGGCGGACACATTCACTTCAGCAGCAGTGTTTTTGCTACTTCTGATTTGCTGTGTATTTCACAAGCACAGGTAAGTTTACCCAGTATAGTACCAACTATCTTTTTGACAACCTACCTCTTTTTTACATGAATCAGTCGCATTTAGGCACACTGACGTGCAAATGTTTGTGTGGGCTCTAAATTCACAATAGAAAAACTTGCATTGAAATATTCTACTACAAGTCTGTACAGATAAAAATAAACCCCTCTTCTATGTTGATAAATGGCTTTTGG